TTTTTTTTTTTTTTTTTTTTTTACAAAAAAAGCACTGCTGTAATATATAAATAAAATATTAATGGCCAGAAAACTAAGCATGTCTGGTTGGTTTAAATAACATGAACTCCAAAGTTGTTTTAAGTTAGGTATCAGCAACTCATGGTTTGCATGCCACATGGGTGCCAGAACTACTTTTCTCATCACTTTGATAATATCAAAGACCTATATTTTAGCATTTTTACCTTTCTTCAATCAAGTGGTATAAAAAGAGTGGTGGTAGAAGAAACAGAACTGAAATTGGAAGTATGCATTAAAATAACTATCATAAAGCAGCAGAAAATAATGAAAAGTATTCATTGTAATAATGAATATTATATTTCTGCATGAATCAAAAGCATAGGTCCCAGGAATTTTTTATAATTAAAATAACAATCAGTAAGTTGTCATCTGACGAGTTGGGTATCACTCCCGGTGGTGTTGGAGTTCCCTTTCCTTGTTTTGATGGGGTTGGGAACTTGACGACCTCCACACTTTTCATGGCTGTCTCCTTCGGCTTCATCGGAATCTTCCCGGGCTTCCCAACCAGAACTCGGTTAGGCTTCCAGATGGGGGTCCATGAGTAGCACTCAGCAGCGCAGTGTCCTTCCTTTCTGCATTTGAAGCATCCTGTTGTCCTCAGGGTGATTTGGGCTTGCTTCGTTGGTTCATGGGGTGACTCTTCTGATGATTTCCCCCAAGATCTCCCTCCACATCATTGTATTCTAGCTTGATCGATCTCTGTTTCCTCGGCCAGGATGTATCAGTCTTGGAGCCGGTCTGGTCTCCTTGAGGGATGAAGGCATCATACAGGTCATAGTTTAGGCCATATTTGAAATGCCTGATCAAGATATCTTCCAGCCAGTTCAGCTTGCTGGCCAGGGCTCAGAATTCTTGGGTATATTCCGCTATGGGCTGTCACCCTTGCCTGACAGTTTTGATGCATTTCCATGCTTTCTGATCAGCCAAGGGGTTTTCAAATCTGCATCTGAGGGCTGCCATGAATTGATTGAAATTCTGCAGTTCTGGGGCATCGGCATCATGCAGGTCCACCACCCAGTCTGCTGTGGTGCCATCTTGGGCTGCTTGCACAATCTGTATTTGGCCGCGATCACTTGGTATGTCATGGCCATATTCTTCCATGTAGTTCAAAACTTGGGTCTGGAAAAACCCCAGTCAACGCGGCTCCCCACAGGAACTTTCAGATGGACCGATGCCTCTTCTTTCACCTCTTTCGGTGGCCATCTCCATCAGTCAGTGCGGCTCACTCAGGGGTGGCGGTGGCTGTGGCGATGGCTTCTGCTTCTGCGGTGCTGGTGGAAGGGCCTGGGTCTGCTGATTCGCTCCCCCCCCTTCATCTGTTCCTTTGGCTGAACTTGGGTTAGCAGTTTCCTGGCATGGGTTGGCTTTCTCCTCCTTCATGGAATCAAAGGTGACCCTCAGCATGTCAATGGCTTGTTCCAGGAACTGGCTGGAACAAGTTGGTCAGTAGTTCTCATCTTCACTAAGGCAAAGCGACCTCTCCATCTTGACTTTCTAACCCGGTTGGTGACTGCTGCATCTGAGCATCACTTTCCTGGATGTTTTTTCCCAGTCCTTCTTCCCGACACCCATTGACCACCTGGGTTTTGGGCGGCATTCCACAACCACCACCTCATCTGATGAGCTCGAGGATTGAGAACTGTATTGGCTGGGCTCTGCTTGGTGGTAGAGCTTCCCTCCCATGGCAATTTCTTCCCTTACCATTCCGATATCAGACATTGTTTGCTTAGCCCCCTGGCAAGAGTCTTCCTTCCAGGTTGACTATTACTGCAGATCCTGCCTAATGTCAGGGACAACTTCAAAACTTTATCCTAAGAAAGCAGGACTCTTGGAACAGTTTCTTTCCAAAAGGAACTTTTATTAGGAGAAGCCAATAGCAGGCATAATAGGCAGGATCTGAGGGTTTCCTGCTCAGATCAATAGGTTAAAAGAGTCCCAAGCAAACCCCACCCCAATAGTTCATCCGGTCAGTTTGAATGGGCCAATCCTCAAGTGTTATGTCCGCTGTGGGAAAGGAGCTGATAATGGGGTCTGTTCCCATACTTGTGAAGATGTTGTTGGGTCTTCGCACCTTCCCTTCCACAGCGAGAGATAAGCCAGATGTCTGGAGGCACATTCCTCTCTCACTCCAAGGTAACATCAAGGGAGACAGAGTTCAAAGAGTAAGTTTGTAGAAATAGTGGAAAGGATACATTGTAGCAAAGCAGAGAAACATACCACAGAGCCTCCCCCCTCCCCCTCAGGAGAATGGCAGAACCCTCAGAAATAAATGAAGAAGAGATTAAATAGATCTCCCCCCCCAGAGGAAGAAGGTTCTGACAATTTGTCTAATTCCGTAATAATTTAAGTTATGCCTCATAGGATCATTAGAACAAATGGAAAGGGTTTATATGTGCCACACAAAAACATAATGTTTATCATTTAAGAACTCAAATGTAATATCCAAAAAAACACAATTTATATAGGATAACTATAGGAAAGTGGTGTACATAATACAGTGATATAGTTGCACAAAATCAGAAGAATGAAAGTCAAAACAATCAATGAGAATTCATTGGCATGGAAATTTGAAAATAAATCATTTCCCTTATTTCTGTCCAGCCCTTCTTTCTGAATTTTTAAGAAATCTGTAACATTACACAACACTATTGATAATATTGTAGATATTATTCCAGGTTAATCTTTACTGATGAACTCTAAGAATTTTTTTGTTTTAATTTGCCTTTCTTAACGCTTCAGATAACCCCTGAGTCTCCATATTTTGTGTTCTCTGCTGTATTCCACCCCAGGCCACCCCAACGATGCCCTTGACGTGATGGCCCGTTGCCTGGAGGCCGTACGGGTCTGGATGGGGAGGAACAGACTCAGGCTCAACCCCTCCAAGACCGAGTGGCTGTGGCTGCCGGCGCCTCGGCATAGTCAGCTGACCCCATCGCTGACTATAGGGGGCGAAATCTTGGCCCCCTCAGAGAGGGCC